GATATGCTTGGGCAAGTACTTATAACTGTAAATAAAGACAAAAGGCTTGTGCCATGCATCATTATTTTTAATGAAATAAAATATGTTTTATTCCTCTAGAGTAATAAAAGCAAAGATGTTTTGGTTGGTCGTTATCTCTTAGGAGCAGAGATGGTCAGGGCTGCTGCTGAAGAGTGTAGTGCCAAGGACCAGGGAGGCTGGAGGGCAGACTTCTGTACTTGCTCAGGGTGTAGGTGGCACATGGCAGCCTTATTTTTTTTTTTTTAATATATGTTCAGAAAGGACAACTGGGGAAGTTTCAGTTGGCCAGACTCCAGGGGAAGCTACAGGATTGAAGAGAGGTGTGAAGTGATAACCTCTTCACCCTCTTAGCTGAATGCCTCTGTCACAAAAATGGTTTATCTGTAGAGCCTGTAGGTTGGACTGTAGATCAACTCTGCCAGTGTCCTGGTTCAGCTAGGACAGGGTTCATTTTCACCAGAAGTTGGGAGGAGGGTCCATTGGTGCAGATCTAGGCAGTTCACTCTTGTTTTCTATCACTCGTTTTATGTCTTGTTTCATTACTATTAGAGTTATTGCTGTTGTTACTTCTCCTCTTGCATTGTTCTGTTAAATTCTCCTTATCTCAACCCACAGGGTTTCACCTTTTTCTCCCTGCTCTCTTTCCCATCCCATGGAGGGGTGCAAGCATGCGGCCATGTGGTGCTCAGCCCCTGGCTGGGTCTAAACCACAACAGGATTAGGCTCCTCATGCTCTCCCAGGCTCCTGTGCAGTATGGGCTGAAAATGGGAGCATCCCCTTAATTCTTAAATACCTTACCGGAGACACCAACAAGAACAAAGCCAGTTGGATTTGTTGGTGTGATTTGCTCTTCCTCACGTTTGTAGTCTTACAGTGGCCCTTGTTGAAGCAGAAGACACAACAGTAACAACCATGGAGTTCTTGGAGTCCAGGACGTCTGTCCCAGTCACAGGAACTGATGATTGCAGAGGGGACCTGAGCTGCCAGGTCTTTCAGGCATGTTGTTTCACCCCTGCAGCCTCCCTCTGCCCAACGCTGAGAGAGGCCCATAGGCTGGTTGTGTGAGCACAGCATCACCGTGTCCATCTGCACGGCACGTCTCTGTCCTGTGGGTTGAGGCGTTTCTGTCACAGAGCCACAGGAAAAAGTTACCCTGGAAAGGACCACAGCAGGTCACCTAGACCGGGCTCCTGCCCAAAGCCAGGCCGGGTTCAGGATTACCTCAGGGACATTTCTAGGTGATATTTTTAAAAGCCTCCAAGAGCAGAGATTGCATAGCCTCTCAGAGTATCTCTCTAGGCTTATCTGTTCTCTTGGCAAAGCAGCTTGGGTTTGCTCTATTTTTTAAACCCTCCCATGAGTGAGTGGGAGACACTAATTAGATCCTCCCCATATAGCTTCATCCCCAGGCTCATCCTACCTCGACTCCAGGCTAAACAGGAGTGGTTCCTGCCGCCTTGGTGGCCCTCAGCTGGACTTGCACCAGTTTGTCACTCTCTGTGTGCTGGTGGGCCCAAACCTGAATGCAGAAATCCAAATGTGGCCTCATGAGTGCCACATGGAGAGTGTTTTTTGAGGGTCAGGGGTGTTACCATTGCACCTCTCAGTTTATTCACTCCCAGTGAAACCTCCATTACCCTTCGTCTTGTGGGATGGACACTGTATATCAATGATAGACCTCCACGATGCAGCTGACATCAATCGCTGATGTACAAAATCTGGAGCTGGATGGAGAAATTGTCTTGTAATTGGGGACTGTCACACACTGTGAGGACCTCTCCTCCAGGATGGTGCCCCATCAGTTACATGGGTCTCTGTGACAGTCTCGGGTCCTCTGCATCCCTGGGCTGGGTAGGACCCTCTGTGAGAGGAGTGCAGGGGGGAGAGGTGACCAGGGAGGCAGGCACCCCCTGCCTCCGAAGGTGCTCATTGGAAAGTGACCCGAAATAAACGTGCCTGGGGAGTAGAATTCTGTCTCCCCCTTCCCAGGGAGGAGGCATCCCCTCAGGACTCGCTTTAGGAGGGGGGCTACTTCCTCACACCTTTGCAGGCTGGAAGGTCAGATGCTGTTTTCCTCGGAGGTCTTGGCCTCTTCCCCTCAGGAATGAATCTCAAATCCTGTGTGGCTTTCTAGGTATCGTCTTCCTGCATTGCTGGCAGGCGCTGGCCTGGCCCCTTTGAACTCGGTCGGCTTGGAAGAGGATATGAGGAGCCCCGGCCCCCAGCATTGCACAGCTGCTCTCGCAGCATTTCTGGCACTTGGAGCCATCAACAAAGTCTGACATTTGAACCGAAAGCTTCCACATGTGCTTTTTAGCCTTGAGACACTTTTTTTAAAAAAAAAAAATCATTTATTTAAGCTTAAAGGTAAATCATTCAACAATATTTGAGCTACCAGAATGTGAAGAGAATATGAGCAAATAATCTTTTGTGTGAAAATAATTCATAAATTGCAAGGCTCTCTATGGGGAGATACTGAGTTAATTGGAAAGCTGTAATTAAGTGGTTGGAAGCAGGAGGCACTCCCCCCTTGGTTCACATGTATCCCCCAAGCCGGAGCCCTGCTCATTCTTTGCTGCCAGGCAAAGTCCAGCACCACAAATATTTGTCTTTTTCTCTCACCTTCCTGAATTTCCTGCTGTGCTCTTCTCTTTGTGCTGGCAGCTGCAGTGGTGATTGTTCTGTACAATTGTGTCTTGCACAATGATAGGGGAAGTAACAGATCTCCCTGTAAGAGTTTACACCAGCAGGTCGTGGTCTGTGGCTAATTGTACTGCGATCAAAATCTGCAAGAATGAAAATGCTTTCTCTCCCTTTCCCCCTCCCCCAGCACACTGCGTCTAAATTGCTGGAAATTTTTTCAAATATAAAGCTTTTTCTGAGAGATAATCTTTATTTGTCCACTTTATATAAAGCCAGTGATTAATGCATGAAGAAAATTATATAAATACTGCTTCTCATACTACTTAGAAACATTGACTGTGTTTTCTGGGAAAGTAAAAGTGGTACTGCTTTTTCAATTCTGATTCTCAAATTGCCACTGAAATACAGAATCAAGGGCCATTTAGACTTGGAAAACTTCCAGTATTTGCAATACTGAGATCAAATTTTAAACTCTTAATTTATAAAATTTTAGCAATGGGCACAGTGAAATTTTTGCAAATCCTAGTACAAAGCCCGTGCAGCTGCAGCAAAGAAATGAGTGGGGGTTCGGTTAGGAAGATCCACACAGGTCACCACTGGATATTGAAAAAGGGAAACTCCCAGTTCACTGCGTGGAAGGAAGTGGAGCAGAAGGAAGTCTCTGTGTTGTTCCTTCTTTACAACGAACCTGAGTCTCACATTTCCATAGTAAAATTTCCAGGAATGTCCATTACATTTGTAAATATACATCTTCTTTCCAGTGTAGCTGCTTCCTTAGAATAGAACAGGTTGGAAGGAACACTAAAAGACCATCTGATCCCATCTTTTATGGAAAAGGGAGCCTAGGTGAGATTGTCTAGCACCCTGTCCAGTCACATTTTGAAAACCACCTGTGATGGAAACTCTACCATGTCCCTGGAGGAGTTGTTCCAGTGAATTACTGTTCTTCACAAGAGGCCACATGGAGATCATAAGGGGCAGTGGGTGCAAGTTGCACTAGGGGAGGTTTCATCTCAGCATAAGAAAGAAAACAAACCTCTAGGTGTGTACATATGCATCCATGTGTGACTTGCACTCCCATGTTGGATGGGTACATTAGCTACCCATATGCACATTTCGTTAAAACCTGGCTTAGAAAGCCTATGTTTATTCCAGATCTACTCACTGAGCTATTTCTAAGCAACAGATCAATCCCTGGAAGCTTTGCAAGCGTGCTGAAGTGAGATGTTTATCAGGAATTGTATCCCTTTCCTTCAGCATGCCCTTATTACTTGAGATGGGATGATTTTCCCACCCCTGTTTTTTTATCAGAATCAGTTACAAACTAGGATGATGTTTGGTCCCACATTTTTGTGCACAGTGCATGGACTTTGCTTGGACACTTACTGGAGATGGGCCCTTCTTAAAAGAGGAGCATTCTGAGATGTGTGGAGGAGTCGGGCGAGAGAGCAGGACTAAGAAGCTCTCTTCTGGAGAATGGTTATTATCCCTGTGGAGACCCTGTGTACTGCATGGTGTGGTGTCCTGTTTTGAAGGATGGATGGGCAGAAGCAGGCAGCAACCCACCTCCTTCCCCAGCACAGGTTACTCTGCTGTAACGCCAGAGGAAGCCCTTTGCTTTCTTCACAGGACAGCTCCAGCAGGGCGCGTGTGCCCTGAACTCGCAGGGCTGGCGTTCCGCGCGTCGCCCCAAGGGTCAGTGCTCGGTGAGGGGCTGTGCTGGCTGCGTGCGTCCTGGCTTCAGCGCAGTGCTCGCGTGAGCTGGTTCCGCAGGCTGTCGCTTCTTCAGGGTGCAACTTTCAGAGGAGTCTTAAGTAACCTTGGGAAAAGGCATTTAAAAAACTCACTACAATCGTCTTACTGTTTCAGCTAAAACAACATTAAGGTTTTCACAGCCTGATGAATTATTCTGCTTTGTTTTGTCAGTGTCTGCTTTACACAGCGTTATTTTGGAAGAAGGAAGGTTCATGCACTTTCTATGTCTATTTATGCTTTCTGCATACTATTTCCTGGACTTGTGTGTATTATTTTAAGCTTGATTACCTCGCGGTGTTGATATGTCTGTGCTGCCTCTCTAAATTCAGCTGATGTCTATTGGCTTCATTGCATGTTTCCAAAAATACAAACTTCAGAGCAACAGAATGCAGCCAAAGTAAGTGTCAGAAGGAAATAGTGGCAGTGTGCTGATACTCTGTGCTCCAAACAAGCAGTGAACATTAAATGTACAGCAGTTCTTCCAGCTACCCTGTCTCATCGTACGCTGGAGCTGGAGCTCTGTTTACATGAGTGCTTTCTAACTTGCTCTTTCTGTTTCTTCATGCTTCCATGGATTCAGAGAGAGGTAAATGATTTTCGTTTTTGCAATTTCATGTTTATCCTCTGGCATGTACCAAACAATGTCCTATTGCTTTGCTTGTATCGGTGAACAGAAGCTAAACTTCAGTGAGTAAATTCATATCTCTCTGTCACTTTTTCACCTTGCTGTTTACAGTATTGTCGTGTTGATATTTCCTGTTGGTTGGGGTTTTTTTCCAGGTCCCAAACCCTCTAGTACTAGAATGGTTTAAAGTCATGGAGTGCAGTAGGGTTTTATATTTACTTTTGGTGTTTGAGTTTAAAATTTAGATACTGTTCTTCTCTGCAAGCTGAAATGTAAGACAGTTGTATGAAAAACCCAACTTTTATTTAAAAAAAAAAAAAAAGAAAACCCCATGATACTAAGAGCAGGAGATTTAAGAGCTAAGTTTAGTGAGAGTTGTAAACATCAACATTTGCTTCCTCCTATTTTTGGTGTTTGTTTTGAATCTGGCTGGGTTGGTCACTTGTCTCAAGTTGGAAGAAAAGTTGTCCCCAGCATGTTTGATGTGTTTGGGTGCACAAAGGGATCGTTTGGGATTCTCTACAATGCTTCCCGTTTCATGGGAGCGCAGACAGTAAGGCATTGTAGTCAGGTGCTTTGCAGCACAAGGGCTGCAGGCACTCCAACGGCTCTTACTGGTAGAATTGCATCCCTCTGATGAGATTAGGGGTTTGTTTGCTCTTCCAAATTGCCAGGACTTCAAAGTGGGGCTGGGTGGAAGGAATATGGTTGAGAGATGGGAACCGTTCCTCACGTTTGCTTTGTGGAATATAATGAGAATGATTTCCAAGCTTGACTGGTTTTTAATCAATTTTTAAGGTGGTGTTGGTCTAGGGAACTGTTTGAACTTTCTTCATTATGGCTTCGCAGTCTAATGTGGATTTCATGCATGTGTGGAGCGATGATCCTCCCAGACCAACACTGGCAAAAGTGTGCTGCAAGCAGATTCGTGGGTTGTGTCTGCATGCGATTGCTGTGTTCTCTGTCTGAATAACGAAGAACAAAGAAGAACTAGTAAGCATTGCTTGTAAAATAAATCACACTGGAGGGATTAACTGTTCTAGTGTAGTCTGCTGTCATCTTCAGTTAATTCTGTAGTAGTGCTTTGAGCATCTCAACTTGATGTATTTCTTGATTAAATCTTTAGATATTCCTTATAAACAAAGGCCCGCATCTTCCAATTAGATCTGAAAGATAGAAGCATTGTCAAAAATGGCTGAATACTTATTTATCAAAATGAAATTTACAGGATCTGCTGCAAAGAGGCTGTTCAGAGGTTCACAGGCGTAATAACACGTTCATTTACTTAAAGGAAGTTCAGCATTCATCGAAATATCTAGACTGCACATCCTGAGGAGTTAAACCACTGCTTTGGATGCTGCAAAGGAGAAGCATCAACTGCCAGAGCCTTGATGACTTAGCTCCTTTGTGTGCCTTGAAGACTGTGCTGCACAGGGTAGGAAGTCAGCCTCCTGCCTGCACATATTTCATAAATGCTGTGAAGCAAATAAACACAAAAAAACCAAAACACACACACAAAAAAAACCACCACCAATCACCATGAAAAGTTGAAAAGTTTGTGGCAATACTCAGTGGTCAGTGATTTTTATGGGACTCGCCCCTGACGTTCAGACTTCCTTTGAATACATTTGTAAAATAAGACGAGGTCTAACTTGCTGCTTGACTTTTGAACTTGCTGCATCTGGCTTGCAGTTGGTGGGCAGCAGTAAGACCCGTCTGCCCCCGAGTACCAGCTGAACGTGGCACACTGGTAGCTGGGCCCCACTTGTGCTGCTGACATGTGATGCGGGGCCCTGCGTGCTCCAGTGGAGGTGGCCTGTGCCCTGCGAGTGCTCTCCAAGGCAGTCATGGTGGTGACCAAGTGGGCAGCTGTCCTCCTTGCCCTGAGAGCAGTACTTCAGCCATATGATCATGAGGTGAGGTTGGGAAGTAGGACCAGCATGGAATGTCAATCTTAGCTGTACAGTCTGTACAGTTGTCACTGTGTTAACACAGCTCCTGGACCTGGAGAGATTAGCGAGTGAGTCACGCTTAGACATGACTCTGTCTACATCCGTGGCCCTTTGCAGGGGTGGAACTTGTGACATCTCAGATCCATCTTTTTGGCTAGCAAGGTGGTGGTGCCAAGGCTGATGGGAGTCCTGTCCCCTTCTCACGAGAGGAGGTGGTGGGCAGGACTGAGATGTGGGAAGCGGGGCTGGGAGAACAGCTTCTGTGGCTTCATGAGGATCAGGGCACAGCAAGGAAATTGGAGTGAAAGTTATGCAAAGGCTTTGAGGCTGGGAAGGGCTGAGCTGGGTATCAGGCGCATCAGCTCTGTGAGGGCTTTAACAAATTTTGGAAGCATGCAGAACTGTGGCAGTGATAAGACATCAAAGAAAAACTGGCAGGCTGTGTGTTTTAGGGCTGCCAGCTTAAAGCCTCTGAGTATCACACAAAGTAGCCATAGCTCCTCCTTGAGAGTTAGCAAGTGACGTTATCAAGGAATGAAGCAGACAGCCTTTCAGCTGGGGATAATTTGCCCTACAAACTTTATGCATGAATTAAGAAAACAAGCTATGCTGGGCCAGTGCCAGACCATTTGAGGAGAATTTAATAAATGCAGAACTGACATTTTGCTACAAGGAAACCCATTTTCAAGTTGTGCGAGATCTGAAATAAAAAGGTTCCCAAAAGTCTTTGCTTGGGAGAACATTTTAGCTACTTGGATCAAAAATTTATGGCCAGGCTAATGTAGGTGGTAGCCAAGTCTACCACTCTGGGCTGTAGCTAGGGAGCAGCCAAAGAGGTGAAGGAGCAATGTGGGATGGTCCACTTGGAGTGAAGAAAAATTGCAAAGCTTTTGTGTATTTTTAGGATTGCCAGCAACTGTCAGAAGTGTAGAGAAAATACATTCTCTTCCATATCTCTTCTGAGTCTAATCACTGAGAGAGAAGTACGTGTGGTTGAGTGCACCATAACTACCTGGGAGATATGGGAAGATTCAAGGGTGTAGTTTGGGGGTTTTTTTTATTCCTCTTCCTGCAGGATTTGATTCCAAAGTGGTAGGTATTGTCACTTGGAGAAGGCCTGTGGGTTTCCTTTGGAGGGTGTGGAAGGGAAGCAGTGGTTTTGTGAATGCATCTCTGTTATCTTGTTGGTGACGTCGAAGCTGAAAGGTCCTCAACAAGTCTTTTACAAACAGATTTTGCAACTTATGTGAATGCTGCTTATTTCATCTAGTTCTGGTTTCTTGCTGTTGGGTTTTTTCCCTAACTTTGCAAACTCCTTAATGTGACCCTGATAAAAAGACAAGTGAACTGAGCAGGGTTCCAGACTCCATTTCAGCTGTTAATCATTCCCCTTTGTCCTGTGTGAAAGAGCGGTCTGATAAAAAATTTAAAGTGTTAATCCAGGAGCTCTGTAATTTCTGTCATGCCTGTTACTGGGGGGTTTCTTGCAACACATCTTCTCTGTCATTTGTGATACTAGAATATTTGGTCATGGAAAAAAAATGCATCAGAGTGTGGTCTGCTTGGCATTGTATTCACCTGCTTTTCTTCTCATGTGTCTTCTCTCACTTGCGTTGCTTTTCTGCTTCTCTGCTCATTTGCTCTGCTCTCATGGACGTTTGTGTCTCACCAGTGAATGGCAGCCTCCTGCCAGGTGCCTTCTGACCCCACTCTGCTGTAGCAGTGGTTGCTCTCCCCTTTTTGTTTCTTGCTTTCATGAATTGTGGGTCAGCTCTCTGCAGAAAAGCCAAGAGAAGCCTGGAGGGTACAGACTCAGGAGACAGTTTCCCCACAGCCCGGTGGCGTGTGCTCAGTGACCTCTGCAGTCACAGGAGTCTGTATGGCCACACCAGTACATGGAAATCAACAGTCATCTTCTGTAGGCTATTCTGGATGAATTTCAATCAATTTCAAGCCAGTCCCAGAGGATATAATTTTCTGGTTCAGGGATTCTTGCTACAATTTGTAATACATAAATCTGTAAGGCAATTTACATTTTCCTGCATGTGTATCCTTTTAATATAGTTGTTTTAAATAGCAGCAGTTTAATTTTGAATGATAAGAGTAAAAAAAAAAAATATCTATTTCAGACATCAAGGCTAGAATGTTGGGCATTTTCAACCAAAGAATGAAAGAGTTGATGCAGTTCTCCACTCCTTTGAAGAAATAAGTTAATAGTGAGAAGGTAATGGAGGATGTGGTGCTCTTTCAGGCTACACTTAATTGGGATGTCTCCTAGGACTTCAGCCTAACAGTGGTAAATTACTATGACTGCTACTCAAACAGGACAGCATTAGCATAAATTGCATTTAACATTATTATATTAGTCCAGGGTTGAGCAGCTAAGTGATGCTTAGCCAGGTGTTAAATAGGTATGGCTATCGAAGTTTTAGTCAATTACTGTAGGCATTTGCCAATTAAAGAGGGTAAAAGAGCGAGTAAAAATGAAATTCTTTTCTACTTAGCAACTCACATTGCTTTTGCAATTGTCTAAATGGCTTTTTAAAACGTCTCTCTGTATTACACTCTCAAAATTAAGAACTTTCTAACTGCTCGGCCTGCTTCTGCAGCAAAATAATATTCTTACTTTTTTTCATAGCTTTTTCCAGAGTACTGGTTTATATCCAGTTCCTATAACCAGAAAGATACTATTAGATGGTGTAGTACGTACACAAATTATTTTTTTAAAAAAAGAAAGATGTACTATGGAATACACAGGACTATAGTCCTTTATCAGTGGAAGTGTTAGACTTGTGTGTTAAAGTTTGAAGCCTATATGTCTTTCTTCTGCAACAGGGTACGTTATTCTCTCACTAAACATCTTGTTGTTCTTCCCACTGACATAGAAGGGAATTTTGTCAGGAGCTGTGGTTCAAATGCCACAGATTTCATGTGCACACATCCCCTGCTGAGACAGAGGATACTCCTGCTTTGTATCTAGCCATGGGCTTTGTAACATTTTTTTCACTT